ATGAGCCTGAGCTCCGAAAAGCTGCACTCGCCACTCGCGACTGTGACTGGCAATGTGAGCAGAACGGTCAAAGTTATCCACACATTGGAAAAGCGTCCTTCAGCTCTGCATCATGAATTAATTGGAGATCTTGGAGTGGAGAATGCTTCCTGTGTTGCAAAATGTGACGGATGTTGTCCAGTTTGACATTGAGGTCTTTATCATTGATGTCTGAACATTCCCCATGTGTCAGCGTCCCGTGAAGGTCCATACTATTGTTCGAGTGTTTTCCTGTCTGCTGGAAGCTTACTAAGGTAATACAAAAACAGTATTTCTTTCATATTGTTGCATAAATAGAGGTTCGATAGATATCTCTGGCGTCTCATTAAATATGTCCTTTATTAGTTGATACTTACAGTCTTCAAGTCTTAGAGCACAAGTACACTTTCAGAATTACACAATCAAACAAGGTTCACAATATCGCAGCTGGCCTCACTTCACTTCGTTCTTCTTTCTCACTGACTGGTGACATCTCACTCCCTATATACCTGCGATGGCATAGCTGACAACATTCTAGGAGGTTCAAGGAAAATGTAGTTCTCAGAAAGTCTGCAAGTTTTCATGAGATTCTACAAAGGTCCAGAAAATTCTAGGCTAATGAAAAATGAATCCATATATGGAATACCTGAAACATTTTACTTCAAACATTCTATTTTCCCTTTTGTGGCAACAAAAACAGCACCCCGAGCCTGGCATCCCAGTCGCCTGGCCCTAAATCCAACCCTGGTTGCTAAATTATGCAATTATAACAACAGAATCCTGGCGAAGCAAGTGCTGTGTGTTCTGTATTCTAGTTGACTGGCTATTGCAAATGTTTTTTAAGCCTTAATCTCTTGAGCCTCTATTTCCATAGCTATGCATTATGGAAATTCCTGTACTAGATGATGCAGTGTCCATCCTATTTTACTGTAATGTGTGAAAGAGATTACTTACCCCTACTTTAAAAAAAAAATTACAAAAACAAAACCGGTACACTAAGTCTTTATCCGGTTTGTTTGAAAATATTAATTTGGCAATAACAAACTAGCACGAAGGAAAGCCGATCTATAAATGATTCTTTCTCATGGCATTGTATTAAACCAGCCAAACCGAGCAGATATGAGACAAGCTCTAGCTCTTTTATGATGTACAGACAGATCTGTTCAGTATAGCAGTTGGGAGTGTATTTGGGGGTGGGGGAGGGGCTCAACTCACGTATTGTGACAAATTTCTTGTAACTTAATGGTTCTCTGTACTTTTATTTTATTTTTTATTTTGCCTTCAGGGCTGGGTGGCTGGAAGGCAGTGGCACAGTATATGGTGTATTGCCACTCTTACTTCTGCTGCTAGGAGTGCTGCCTTCACAGTGGGGCACCCCCCAGCCAGCACTCAACTGGTGGTGGGGCTGAGCCCCAACATCTCTTTCAATACACTGGGGTATGTACAGGGTGGCCCTTGGAGGCCAGGAGAATGGGGGAGAGGCATGGGGGCCGTTTCCCCTAAGGCTGGCCCTGACTGCACTAGCCTGTGCAGTACTGAGCAGCCGCCTTGCCCCACGAGACCCCCCCTGAAGCCGCAGGACAGCTCCACCCCGGCACGGCCCATGCGCCAACGGCGAGCTTCCCTACTGGGAGGCCACACCCCAGGGACTGCACAGGCAGAACCGCGCATGCCCAGTTGAACAGGAAGCGAGGTGTGCATTTTCTCGTCCCCGCGCGGCTGTTTCCGGCGCTCACCTTCCGCGCATGCTCAGTAGGAGACAGGCGCCGGCTGTGGGTAAGCGCGTTTCCGGTCAGTGCCGGGAATGTCCGACCAGGGCCTGGCCGGTGGCGGGGCGGACTCGGGGCTGGATGCGGCCCTGGGCAAAGTGGGGGC